CCACTGGCAGGTGTGGACAAGGCAAGCTCCTGCTGCCGTCTCCCATTCGTGTGACTGCTCCAGACCTTCCGGTTTTCACATGGAAATCCTCTTGGGGTTACCCACCTCCGAGTGTGGGGCATCACAAGCCCTCATGGCTTCAGTGCAAGACACCCAGCACCCTGGCACTGCCTTGGAGGGTTTGAACCCCAATGCCATCCCACACCTCTTTTCAGCCTCCCCTCCTCTTTGAAACCTCATCGCATGGCACAGCTCCCTTCACCAAGGTCCTGCTCTTCTCTGCCTTCCCCCATTCCCCCTTCTCTCCTCCCTGCACCCTACTCCCATCTCTTGTCTCGCCCCTTCATGGAGCTCATCTTCTCCTGAGCAAGTCCCACCATACCACCGGTAATTCCTGACACAAACCAAATGCAGCCACACCACCACTGTTTTGTATTCATTGTTAGGTTTTTTTTTTTTTAATATTCTGTACAGTCTAGCAACTTGTGCCCACCTCATCTATTCAGACTACGAGCTCCTTGGGCCTAAAGCTGTGTTCGTACAGGGCCTAGCACAACAGTTCTCACTCACAATGAGCCCCTTCCTGCACTAGCCAGCGTAATAAAAACAGCATGTGTTGAGTAAGAGTGAATCAGTCTCTCCTTAAAGCATTTTAAAAATCTGGAGGAGTCTGACAGAAGGAAAAAAAGAAGAAGGGAGAGAAGAGGCAGGAGAGAAAGGAAACAAAATGGAGGAGATCGTTTTCACCAGAAGCAGCATTCTCTGTGAGGTACACCTTCTCCTGTCACTGCCATCCTTCCCTGACAAGGTCAGGCTAGAAGCAGCATTCCTCTCCTTTATTCCTATATAACACTCCTTTTCTTCCCCCCCCCAGATTACTTTTAACATTTACTTCCTGCCCACTCTGGTGTTTACATGCAAAAAGTACCACCTTTATGGCACTCCCTTACTGACTGGAGTATCACAGGCCTGTGCTCTTACTACGTGTTTGCCAAGCGCCAAGTTGTATTTAAATCATTTTCACTTCTCTTCTTCATCTTCCCACCTGCCAGCACCAGTCACAGCCTCAAAAATTGTACTTGCTTCTTCATTTCAGGACTGAAATAGTTCATAGTGCCTAATGTAACTAACTAACACCCTCACTGCTAAATACACCATGACAATGAGGGGGCCCATGCTGAGCCTTAAAAATACTAACCACCAAATGCACACAGGCTGAATTATTTCTTTAGCATATCTAAAACTACATTTTAGTTGAGAAGGTGAAAGATTTAAGAAATAGAGTATTTTCCGTTCCACTCTCTACTCTCTCAGTCATAGCTCTGAGGTTTTTTTTAGTTAAAAATGAAAATCACCAAAAAAAAAAAAAAGCCTCAAGTTGGGGAAGTGCTGAGCAACAACTCACAGGTGATTCAAACAGCTTTGGATGCAACTTAGTGGAAATTCAGGTACAGTTTGCTAGTGGCTTGAATACCGAATAAAAATGAAGACTCATCTGGGGCAGGGAGACATCGAAAATATTTAAAGGTTGCTCTTAACAGAGTGAATGTGTGCTGAGCCACCTTTTCCCACATAGCTGTCACTCGAAACATATATACATCATGCATATATCTTTGTATGACAGGTATCATGTGGTACACCGTCTACGTTGACTCTAGAAGGCTAATTTTTACTCTCCTTCCAACAAGATGGAAAGCATTTTGTAACCAGCTAGTTTACCCCCTGGCAGCTGATAAGCTGGGTTTGCAAACATTACCTCCGTGTCTGAGAAATCATTATGTTACTCTACGTACACAGCAGAGACAAATTACTGATGTGTTAAGAGCAAAGAAGTGCCTACCCTGGAAGCTCTCAACCCCATTTCACATGCAAGGTGCAATTCTTGCTCTTCTCCCAATAAGCCCTAACAGTACTTCCCAGCCCCAGTCACCCTCAGCCCCAACATCTGATGGCCCTAAGTGACCATGGAGGTGCACTGCCAGCTTCCCTGCTGCAAGACACTGTGTGTCAACAGGACTACTCAGATTATTAAGAATTAAACGCACAAAGAAGTAGTTTCAGCTGAGTCAAAGCCACAACATTCAATACTTGACAGTCTCAAGGCCCTTTTCTGACCCAGGATAACCAGTAATGTGTCAAAGAGGGGAAAAATGTAAAGATATGAAAGAAAAAAAAACTACAGATACTATATAACCTTATGAGTAGCACAAGATTTTCGTGACCACAGCCTCAGTAAAAATAATACCATAGAAGGAATGTCAGGAACAGGAACTGAGGGCTGCTTGCCCACCTCCACTGGGGAGGGATGCTGTCCGTGGGGCTGGAGCAGGGCTCTCGACAGAAAAGTTTCACTGGCAAGAGTAACTACAAGAATGCGCGCAGCAGAGGATAGCAAACTGCAGCACTTCCAGGACAAGATGTGCTTCAAGGCCGTACCAGAACACCTGATTTTAGCAGGAGCGTACATGAGGGCAGAATTTGGCCTGTATTCTGTACACCTTAAGTTTCTCTTCATAGGGGAGGGAAAGAAAGTCTCTCAAGTTAAAGCAGCAATCTGCAGAAGAGTAAAACTAACCCTACAGCCTGCTGGACAGAAGGACCCCAGTCCCTTAGAAAACAATATAAGGGCAGTGTCGGTACATCTGCATACCACAAAGAGGAAATTGAGAAACTTAAGTCTTGAACATTGACCTATGAAAACTCCTTAAAAAAACCCAGAACAACAAAACGAAACAAAAACCCAAAAAACAACTTTCTTTTGAATCCAAAAAATCTTTGTCACTTGTAAAAAATGTTCACTTCATTGACACGGTGATTTTATTTAAATAAACTCTATTAAGAAGCAAGGGTCACAAGGACCATTTCTCTTGATCATAAGATTAAAATGTTTCTTATTAGTCAATTAACTAATTGATTAGCTCTTCAGCTGTGACGTTAGCAAATATAATATGCAGCGGCCACCCTCCCGGCCCATCAATGCAAACACATCCCTTTTCCACCTTTATTTATTATGCACCTTTATTTAGGCCCATCAGTTTGCTGCTTCTTTACAGTTAAACAAGATGGAGACCAATTTGGCACCCAAAGAAACAAGTTTCCAGTTGTTGGCTAGTGACACCGGTTAAGCCAGTCACCTTAATTCCTGTGAGAGAAACTGCTGTGTGACTTTAACTCTCACCTCTCACTCCTGCAACAAGAGCTCAGAGCTTGAGTTGAGGCAAGAAGCGGGACAGGCAAAGAGATGAGATGGCTCCTCTCGTTAAAAACAAAGTACTTCATACAGAGAGTGTGTAAGAACAGCTTTCCTATTTGAACGTCATGTGAAAAAGCATTTCGGTGTTTTCAGCCCGTCTCCAGAGAGATGGTTTTCCATCACAGCAGTTTCCATAAGGGCACTGTACATTACACCAGTAAAACATGGCAGCCCCATTTAACTCCAGACAAAGCTGCAGTTTTATCACTGCATCTTGTGTCAACTGTACGGAGGTGCTTCAGGTGGCAGCTGATGGATTTTCACACAAAGTAAGTACGTATGCTTCACAAGAACTTTTAAGTGTCCAAAATCCAACAGCAGATGGGAAAGTCAAATTTTGAGTCTTTTAAATGGGCAAGTAATCATAGTGAAAATATTTAAGCCAGCTTGTCGCTAGGACTTTTTGGAGTTGTAGTTTATGGAAAGGACAAGAGCATAAAAAAAGTGGAGTTCTTGGTTTAATTTACATTTCTGTTCTAGTGTGCACCCAATTTGTCCATCAGGGACTTGATCCAAGTTGTAGCAAAATCAAGTTTAGGACAGTTCTTGTAAGTTTTAAGGACAAACAGATGGGTTTGATTTTTTACAATTTCAATCCTCTGGAGCTCTCTTCCCTCTTCGTCTTGCATTTTGAAAGTTATATTGCCAAGCAGTGTCGGCCCCAACTTTAGTTGTCCTAAAACCATGGGACTTTCACAGAAGAAGCTTAATGACAAAAAAAAAAACCCTATATCCAACATTGCTTCAAAACTTTATGAAAAACATGTAACTATTAATACACAATTCTGGAAAATGTTGCTTTGCTGCTTCGGGGTCTGTAGCCAGTGGAGAAAGCACAATATTATATGAAGTCCTGAAAGAACACAGCTAATTGAATAAACCCACCCTCTTCCACAATGGTGCAGATTACTTCATCTGCAATGGTCTTGAAAATGTGTTTAACTCTACAGATAACAATGTTCTTCACAACAAAAGGAATGAAAATGAGAGGAAAACGTTATTGTTCACCAAACAGAAAACAAATGAAAAAACAGTGCAAGGCTAGTAAGGAAAGAATGGTTAATCTCACATTTCTAAGAGGGTATTATAAACAAAGAATGGTGAACAACAAAAATAAGATACAAAAGTGCTTAATGGTGTTCTTTTAAATATTTACTTTGCTGCTATTTGGAGAATAATTTGTTCCATTTAGTAGTGTTGGGCTCAAAGGACCGCTTTAATCCAGAGAGATTAATTATAGCCTTTGGAGTTATAAACACAATTTGGGAAGTGAAGCAGAGAAGAGAGAGATGCCTCTCACGCTGGCGATTAACAAGTTTACGCGCTTCGGGGCTACACAACACCGGCTGTGCCCCTGCTACACCTGCACGCTACAGGCAGAACAGTGTGCAGGATGCCCATAAATCGGAGAAACACAGCCCCCGAGATGACCAGGGAAGACACTACCCTACCCTACAGCATTGCTATAGGCAACTAAGGTACTTCTCAGGTGTCCTTCACTGAAATACAAGTTCACCTGCACCTTATGAAGACATCCTCTGATCTCGCTTTTATTACCTGTGCCAGAAACACGAGTCGCCATGCCAAGACAAGCGGCAGCGCTCAGCAGGCACAGGACCCCATCCACACTGCCTTTAAACCTCTCATGTGCTTTCACACATCTCTCCCTCTGCTCATCACCGTGTCCCACACCAGGAAATGCAGGGACCAGCGACAGTGAGCAGGGCAAGGCTGGGAGTGATCTTACCTAGCGAGGGGTTGGCTGCTCCCTCCTCCGAGCTCTCCTCGGCCCCCTCCTCCCCCAGGCCGGAGGTGGCCGAGTCCTCTGGGGCAGATGCAGAGCCAGGGGTGCTGGGCCCGCTGACAGACCCTGAGTCCCCTTCCTCGCTGCTGGAGCCGTAGCGGTCAGGTTGGGCGGCCGTCCCGCCCTCGCTGCAGCTCCTCCGCTCCTTGCGGTGCACTCGGGAGTGCAGCACCATTTGGTGGTAGGTGCGGAAGATCTTCCCGCACTCGAAGCACTCGGTGGACTTGTTCTGGGCGGCCCGCCGGCTCTGCCGCGAGGCAGGGCGGTAGTCCAAGTCCCCCTGGGCGAGCAGGCAGCTCTCCCCTGGCAGGGCACCACCAGTTTTCTCCAGGCGCCCGCTGGTGCAGCTCTTCTTCTTGGGGTTGCTGGAAGAGCTGGGCGAGTCCTGGTCTCGCTTGCGCTTCTCCTGGTTGACAAGGATATACTCTCTCTTGTCCTTGTCATAAGTCACGTCTGCATCCGCCAGGGCCTCGTCCCATCCCACATACTTCACATATTCCGAGGGCTCTACTACTTTTCCTTTAGTGGCCAGCTGCCAAGCTTGGTAGCTACTGACCGGATCCAGCTCGGCTACTCTTTTCCCAGGCTGTCCTCTTGTAACTCTATCCAGCCCTACAGATGGCCTTAGATTGAGACACTGCAAGAAAAACTGCTTCGTTACCGAGGAGCTTAGGCTCCCATCAGTTAAGCCCTCGGCTTTATCCCCGGCGCTACCCCGCTGCGCCCGGTAGTGAACGGCGTTATGCGCTTTCAGGCTTTCCATATTTGTAAACAGATTTCCACACTTGGTGCAAACTTCGTACAGAGACAGGCCCGTCACAATCGTCTCCTCCTGTATCACGTCATTGATAGTGGCTATGAGCTCCAAATCATTTTTTGGTTTGTTTTTGCTCCCAGTCTTGGGGCCGTGTGACTTCATGTGGTTTTTGAGAAACCAGGGCTCTTTGAATCTCCTGCCACAAATGTGGCACCCGTGATCAAATGACCCCCTGTGCTTTTTCATGTGGGCTTTCAGGAACCAGGTTTGACTAAAGGCCTGACCACAGACTTCGCATGGAAACTCGCCCGCACTCAGCTCGCTCTTGCAGTTCTCGGCGTAGGCCTCCCCATTTGGGACCTGAGCTGTTATATGGTCCTTCTCTATGTGGTTTAACAGCGTCTCCTCCCTCAGGGTCATGTAGCTACACAACCTGCACTTGAACGGTTTGTGGACCTGGTGCAGGTGCTGCTCCAGGTCCTTCTTCCTTTCAAATTTGTTTTTGCAGAAGGTGCACTGGTAAGAGGTCAGCTTGCCATCTTCCTCGGCTGGTGCCGCCTCCATGACCTCCTTCTTGCTGCTTCTCAACAAGATCTTGCTGCTATCTACCTGAGCGGTACCGTTCAAGATCTTGTTGCAGGCAGACGTACTTTTAGTGGGGCTGGTGCACCCGCCAAGGCCCTCCGAAACTCCCATCTCCCCTAGCTGTGCCTCCCCCATCTCCGCCTCATGCCCCTGACTTAAAGTGCCTGTTCTGTGACTACGGATGTGGATCTTCAGGTTGCCCTTTTGGGAAGCTCTGTGATCACAGTAAGGGCATTTGTAGGGCTTCTCGCCCGTGTGCTTCCTCATGTGCTGCGACAAGGAGCTCTGAAAAGGGAAACTTTTACCACAGATGCAGCAGCTGTGGCACATGGTCTTGTCAGCATCCATGTCATTCTTGCTTAGCTTGCCTGGGCTGGAGGATCTCCGTAACTCCATTTCTGCCTCTCTACTACGATCCATCTGTATTACTGCAACATTGGGTGAGCGGGGCAGGAGGACATAAGCATGTCCGGCAGCACAAGAGGGCTGGACTGCGTTTTCAATCATACGGTTCTGCAGAGAGATGTTTTATTGCTTCATTCTCGGGGTAACGTTTCTCCTTTCAGCTGCTCGAGAAAGTCTGAAGCGCCGACTTACTTCCGTGTGCTCTATAGGCGGATGGCATAGATCACCTGAAACAAGAACAAAATCACACAAAGGTACAGAAATTGTGTAAGTAGATTCTTAAATATATTTAAACCTATTCATATTTTTAATTCAACAGCTTCCATCACTCGCCCCGCATTCAGAAGCATACTATACTACAATTTATTGCACCAAAAAGCAGCAGCTTCTCCTTTTGCTGATATTCTAGACTTCAATGGCGAGCATCATTAATAAACAAATAAAATCCAAAAAAGAGCAACCATTCATTTCCATACACTGACATCACAGTGTCTTTTAAAAAGTGCAAACTTTAAAAATATTTTTTGTTTTAAAACCAGACAGAAGTGGCTAAAAATACACCTTAAATGAGGAAAACATTTCTTGAGGGAGTTATTACACTTTAAATCTGTGGCTTTACCATCATGTGTAATTTAATGTAAAATACTTACTTGCCAAAGATAAAAGGCTTTCCTAGAGACTTTAGCAAGTACCATATTCCTGCTGGCAACTGCATTACTTTGCGTCTCAGACAGCTCTGCTGTGCTTGATGTGGCATGCCCAGAGCAGGCGCAGAGGCTGAGGACGCTCAATACTTTGATTAGAGAGAAAACAAGAATCCAGAGCCTGACAAAGCATTCAGGAACACTGAAAGTTATTTCCTGATGGACAGTGAGGAAAAAAAAAACCTCCAACTGTAATATTTAGTCTCAATTTAACAAAGTAAACTGATAATGTGCATAGGTATCAAATGATCTCAAAAGTGAGTGATTTATGTCAACAAGACATACAGGAAACCAGAGCACCACCCACCTCAATGAAACAGAATCCTAACCATAAACAAACAAACAAAACAAGAAACAACTTTGATTAACAAAACAGGTTAATAAAAGTTTAAAAGCTTTTGTATCTTGTCATGATTAAATTCAAGTGTCAATACCTGCCTCAGCAATGCCAAGATGCAACACACCAGCAATTCTCCACCTTGTATATGGCAAAAACCAATGGTTACCATCTCCATAGATTGTTTCTTTTCCTATTACCACACTGTAAAACAAAAATCTTCCCCCCTTCCTATTCTCATTAAGTACTACAAACACCACATGACTAAGATCAAAAGACCACTGTAATCTCTAATAAAGAGAACCAATCTATTACTACATTAAGAAAATATCAGCTTCTTAAAACATAGCTAAAAATACGCAGAGCAATAACAAGACTATACATTCACACATCCATCACGACATCTGTGACTCAATAAATGAAGAGCTACAGATCTACAGTTGCAAATTTTAAGGTTTCTCATTGTATTCACCTCTGAGTCTCTTCAATAAGTAAATAAATAATCTAACCACATCACCAGCATGAGCCTAACAAAAAGCAAGGTAAAACTGATGCAACGCTCATCTCAGTTACACGCTATAGAATAACTTCATTATATTTAAGTTAATCTAGTCCTCTTATTTGCTACAAGATCATTCCTTTCTGGGTTTGATTTTCTGCATATCTAGTATCCATTCAGCATGTTAAGAGTTATCAACTGCATCTACCTTTTCCTCAGAGAGCTGACAGTAATATCTAAGGGACGTGTTACAAAAGCAATTTCATTTCTTGAATGAAGCATTTTTATATTATGACTAATTTATTATGACTAAAAAAAAAAAAATCACATCAGATCACAAATTCAGAAGTCCATATGAGCAGGAAGTTTACAAACAAGAGTATCTAAATTAATCTCTGAAATTAGCCATTTAAAAGCAAATTGAGGGGCAGCCTCAGAAGAAACTCCCTGGGTATATAAAGGATGGCAGCCACTGGAAGTTGTGGCTGTAATAGAAGGTACGAACATGCCAAACAGCAAATACAAATGCAGTTTATACTGCATATTGATGGATGAAACAATTCAGAGTAACTTACTTATTTGACCCGTAATCTAAATCTGCCAAGTAACAACCCATATTGTCTTATAACCAAAGACTTAACCTAAAACTCATTAAATCATAAAAAGAAACACCAGGACAACTTCTTGCATTTAACACGACAGTATACTTGAACAAGCAACAGCTTCTTCTGAATTGTTCTGCACCATTGTAGGAAAAAAGATAGCAAACTTTGGGGACAGATTTTTCCAGGTATTTTATACAAAGTTTTCTACATTCTGCCTTTTCTACAGTTTACACCAGTGAGAACGCTGCTTATTGGTAGGCTGACTTTTAGACTACCAACATTTTTTTTTTTTAAATGTAGGTTCCATTTTAATTCAACTTTCTACAGTGTTTCCTGTCTGAAAGTTCAAGAGCTTTAAGAGCCAAACTTAGACAAGAATGCTGTATGCAGCAGTCAGGCACATATAAATCCAAAGCTACAGAGTCCCTTTGTTTACTTGGCCACAGCTTCCCTACGCTTAGTCTTGACATATTTCACTTTAATTATTTATAGCATTTTCATTAATGAAACTCAGTTATGAAAATGAGGATATGAAGAAAGCATTACTTCTAAGAGGGATATTAGCCACTCTCAGGAGATCCCCCTAGCCCTATATTAAATTAGGCCTGAGGGGGAAAAAAGTCAGTTAAAAAATTACTGAATTATTTTATTAGTCTAAAATACTTCATGGAAGTGTTATAGTCTTCACCAAAATCTTCTGAGAAAATTGTTTCATCTTTATTACTTTAGCTTGGCCAATGCACTGCAATTTATAACTTTAAAAGTTGAAATAAAGTATTCCTAGACTTGAATTATTCTAATTCATACACATTTAAGACTCACAAAATTTCAAGTCTGATCTTCCACAGACAGAAATTCCAGGGGGAGGAAGGGTGTTCACCCAATCCGAGTTTGCTTTACACAGGCTTTGGTAAATCGATTGACACAAACACATAGGAACAACTTACAATTCCCTCCTCACATCATTTGAGTGCCGCTTAAAAGTAATTCTTTTAGAGGGGCTCTCTGCAGAACAGCAAAGCCAGTGTTCATCGGAAAGAAGCAGCAAAAACTAAATAAAAATGACAACTTTGAAAACAGCTTCAATTCAGAAGACTGAACGTACAAAATGAGGAAAACACCACTTGTAAAGAATCCTACCAATAGAAAATAACAATTTGGCTTAATAATTTCCACCTTTGTATTAAATATTAAACAATTATTTCAACATCAAAGATGGCACAAGGGATGGAAGACGTCAACTGGTAAATCAAACCACACTGATTACTCTTCCGCCATGAGTAAAATTTTGCCATAGCTATTTTTGTTTCTTTCTGGCTGACTGCTATGATAAAAATATTTGTATTTTGAAATAATTACAAACTTGACAGTATTCTGAAACAATTCTCTTTCTGCACACATGGAACACGGCCACCTCCAGCTACCCTAAGGCTACTAAAAAATGTTTCAACTCTCAGTAATTTCAGGTGGTAACCAGTAACCTTTCCTTGCTTTGGTCCAAGTTCACCCTGCAGTTCCTTAGCACCAGCTTGTCACACAGAATCCATAGCAGAGTCACATCCAGCCTGCAGATTTCTCCCAGACTGTCACTGCACGGAGATCCCCACTAGCGCAGCGGCAAGCCGTAAGGAAATGCAAGTGAACATAAACTGTAAATTAGTATGTAGTCTTTAAAAATATTGTGTGTTTTAACAGCATTGCAGCCTATGCCAAATGCCATTCAACTCCTTCAGGGGGGTGTGATATTCTGTTGTAAGGGCCATATGAACCAGATTCACTTCATTTTGTTGAACTAGGGATCAGCAGTTAACGTAAGAAGCCGCTGGCCAGTGTCCCGGAGTCATTTTCAGCCCCTTTAAAATACACTGAGGCACATCATCACTGTTTACATGCAGATTTGGTATATAAAGCAAGGTGGAAGAGAAACATGAACAAAGACCCAAAAACGGGGGGGGGGGCCAAGAAATGCCTTTGCTCAGGCAAATATTTTAGTTATAAGGCTTGTTCCTGCACCCATTGCCTCACAGAGAGTCTTTGCCTTGACCTACATGTGAGCAAATACAAATAAACTTTTTTTATTGCCCTCCCAGAAGGGAAAACAAGCTTTCCTATGAGCTTAAACCAAGTATTTGTCAGAACTGACTATTTCAAACATTTAGGCATCAAAACTTCTCTGGTTTTAAAAACTAACTCGGACAGAGTTCTTGGCTTGAGAGAAAACACATTTGGCCTAAGCGACCTGCTCTCACCACGGAGCCTTTCCCAGCATAAGCCGCAGCTTCCCTTCCCCAGCAAGACTGTGGCAGCCTGTCCCTGCCAGCAGTGCAGCAGATACGCCGGCGCACGGCTGCATCATCCTTGCAACTTCTGCAAGACCCTCATGTAGTCTTGAAGTGAAGCATGCGTAAAAGTACAGGGGAACAGAACTTTAAATAAAACAGGAGCACTCTGAAATACCTATTACTCTTCTCTTCATGACACCTGCATGTTCTGGAAGATGACCAGGTATGCTGTGAGGACTCTTAAGGACCTTTTGTGCCTCTTGGAAAACAACTAATAAAAAAAGAAACTGAAAATAAACATCGCAATAAAATTGAAAAATAGAATGCAAGAGATACCACACTGAAAAAGTAACTGCAAATTCATTTCTTACATACAAATAGCCTGTGCAGTGCAGACTGAGAGGAAAACATACAAGAAAAGTATTCCTGTTCCAACATACAGAAGACTATACATTCTTTTTTAATTTCTCTTCTATTAAACCTGACTTTAAAAATCATATTGCATGGGCTGTACTGGCAAGAAGGGAAAACTCTTCAGTAAGTGATAAACAAGAACATACAATCTGGGAAGCTACATACACCTATTTAAATAGCACAGTGTATATTTTAAAACAAACTGCTTTCAGTTTGGGTGTGAGTATTTCAAGTCCCGTCTGAAAGATAAATGCACTGGAGAAGTATCGCTCTTCTAATCTCCAAGAGGTTTGAATACACACTGCAATCACTCCACCATGTTCCTCTGCCAAAAGCAACAATGACTTTTAAAAAAAAAAAAAAAAAAACAAAAAAAAAACA